CAAACTGAATACAGGCAAATAAAAGAAATATTATCTACCAAGACCAAGTTGAATTTATCACAGACATTCAGCGACAGTTCAGCACATGAAAATCACTATCAGGGTAATAAGTCACACAAATGGAATTAATGACAAAAATCACATGGTCATTTCAATAGATGCAGAAAATGTTTTTGTCAAAGTCCAACATGCCTTCATGATAAAGTGCTAGAGAGGGTGGGAGGGAATGTATCTCAATATCATAAAGCTGATATATGACAAATCCACAGTCAACATCCTAAATGGGGGAAATTCAAAGCAATACCATTAAAATCAGGAATGAGACAAGGCTGCCCACTATCCCCACTCCTCTTCAATATAGTATCTGAAGCACAAAGCTGGAACAACAAGACAAGAGAAGGAAAGTAAAGGGGTAGAAATAGGAAAAGAAGTAAAACTATCCCTGTTTGCAGATAATGTGATACTCCAAAAATTCCACCAAAAAAAACCTTCGATTTCAGCAAAGTGGCAAAATACAAAACAAACCTATTAAAATTAACAGCCTTTCTATATGGCAACAACAATTAACTTGCAGAGAAAGATATCACAGACATACTCCCATTCACAATAGTCTCAAAGACAATGAAATATCTAGGAATAAACCTAAGTAAGGAGATAAAAAGGTGCCCGTAATAAAAACTCTGGAGAAAGAGATTGAGAAAGAAATTGGCTGAGACACTGGAGCCTCGCACCTCATGCTCAAGGATCAATAGACCTAATGCTGTAGAAATGATCACCTTACCCAAACCTATTAAAGGTCCATTACCATCTGCATAAAAATTCCCATCTCATTTCCCCAAAGAAATTGAAATTCATACGGAATCACCTGATAACCAAGGTAATCCTTGACAGAAACAAAAGAGCACAAGGGTAACAGCAGAAGTGCTAGAGCAATTACCATTCCAGCTCAAAACACATTACAGAGCCAACGTGATAAAATAAGATGGAACCGGCACAGAAATAGGCATATAGGTCAATTACACTAAATAGAAAACCCAAACATAAGTATACACAAACTACAGTAATCTGGATAATCGACAAAGACACCAAAAACACACACTGGAGAAAGGATAGCACCCTCAACAAATGATTCTGGAAAAACTGAATGTCGACATGTAGAAGAATGAAATAATGCCCACATCTTCCATCTTGCACAAAAGCTAATTCCAAATGCACTCAAGAACTCAGGGTAAAACCTGAAACACTGAAACAGCTGAAGGACTGCCAAGGCAAGATTACAGGATACAGGTGTAGGAAAGGGCCTTCCAAATAGAGCTCTAATGCCCAGGAATTAAGCCAAAAATGACAAGTGGGATCCTCATAAAACCAAAAGGCTTCTGCCCAATAAAAAAAAAATCAGTAAAGAGGAGGCCAGTAGAGTGGGGGAAAATCTTTCCAGCTATTCATTTAATAGAGCTTTAAGAGCAAGAGAATACATACATACATAT